ACATTTCTATACTGTTTTTTTTTTTTTTCCGTAACTGGTTGCTTTTCCGCAGACCACTTAGCACTCACTTGTGCACCCCTGGGGGTCCCAGGACTCTCTGATATAGATGATGCTTTTATAACACCTGGTTCTCTCACCCCCTTATAATACTGAATGATAGAAAATATTACATAATAATATATAGAGACAGGAACATTTTTTTTCTTATTTATTCGTGATATTGCCAAATCTTTTTTATTATGATATGAAGAAATGGAATTTAAAGACAGATTTTTTTTAATAGTCCTATTATCCTACATCGGTAATTTTCTCCTTCATTTTCTGTCCATCTTAGATGCTTAGTGTTTTGGTGATTTGGTAACGTCATGGTGGTTTACAAAATTCAAACAATAACGTTACATACATACAGTCCCACAGGTGGCGCAGTGTTCAGAATTGTGTCTTATTCTACTGTTTTTGTGCTGTGGCTCTAAGAGGCTGACTGTTGGAGAGTGCTGAGTATGTAACCGGCTGTTCTGTTAAACTGACGATATGTCAATGTTGATTTAATACGTAATCATTTAATATGAAATGTTGTACACTGTTTTTTTTCAATAATAATTTAATCAAACGGAAATTTCTAGAGCAGTAAGAATCAAGCTAAGTTAGCTGTCAGTTAATAATGAACAGATCCTGTTAGCTTGTTAGCGAACTAGCTGCCATTTAAAACACTTTGACAGTTATTTTAATGAATTCGTATTCAGTATTTATTATTGTTAATAAAATAACAAAACTAATTTCAATGCTTACTGCACGGTTTCTAGGAATGTTATGTTAATAAGTCTAGTTGGCTAAATGCTCATTCCTTTATTTACATACGATATTTGACACAAGCGTGTTGACTTGTGAGACTATAGCTATACATTATTTAAAACGAGTGCTTGTATCGCCAGGCCTAAACAACGCGGATATCTTTAGATTGAAAGGCTTTTTTGTAGTTGCTGTCTTGCATTAACACACTGTCAGGCGATTAAGGTTTTATAAATAGACTTTGTGTCTTATAATATGACTAATTTGTGCTTTAACAGTTATTATAAGTGTTATAATATGACTAATTTGTGTTTTAAGTTATTATAAGTATTATAATATGACTAATTTGTGTTTTAACAGTTATTATAAGTGTTATAATATGACTAATTTGTGCTTTAACAGTTATTATAAGTGTAGAGGAATTATCTGGTGGCTAAGTAATATTTGAAGGCATATTGGAGTTTCTCGGTGATCAACACAAGTCAACATGAGTACTGCTGTGAGTATGAATGACCACGTGACCACTCACGTGATTAGTTCTGATTACATTTAAACCAGAGGTCTCAAACTCAATTCCTGGAGGGCCGCAGCTCTGCAGAGTTTAGCTCCAACAAGCACCAACTCACACCTGCTTGGAAGTTTCTAGTGATCCTGAAGACCTTGATTAGCTGGATCAGGTGTGTTTGATTAGGGTTGGAGCTAAACTATGAAGAGCCGTGGCCCTCCAGGAATTGAGTTTGAGACCAGTGATTTAAACAATTGCAGCTTGCTGCATTGCACTTTTCCTGTGTGTGCATTACCAAACATCAACAATAATGCTATAGTAACCACTTGTGTCTCCTGTTTTCAGACACAGAGGAAAAGACGAACATCATCTGCTACATGTTCCCGCCGTGGAAACCGCAAGAGGAGCCGGACCCAGATGTCTCAAACAGCGATGGAGACCATTGATGTGCTGGAAAGTGACAGAACTAACAGTGAGTTTGATGCGCTTGTTTTACCAGACTTGTCCTTTACCTCTGATTGATGATGTAAGAGCAAATTATTTCATAGCCTCAAAAACACCATAGAGTGGTTTAGTGTAAAGTTCCTGTGAAAGGCAATTCCGTGTTTATGCAAATTTGTAAACCATGAACAAGCAACTTGCAAGCAATGGACATCACACTCATTTGGTTGGGTGACATTCAGAATTTAGAGTTTACCTTTTCCATTTGTAAGTTGAAATTGTTTACCCCTAGAATCCTATTTAGAGTGCAACAGTCAGGTTTCAGAATTAGAAATCCTATTCATTTTCTCCATAGCAGAATTGACGGTTAAAGGCAGACATGCTACAAGCTACAAGGTTGTTAATTGATCAGGGTTTCTGTGGGTCTTAAAGTCTTAATTCGCCCTTCTCCAAGCAAAGGCTTTAAATCTTTAATCAGAGCAGAAAGTCTTTATAAAGTTATGGCATGAAATGTTGCATGCACTGCAAAAAAAAATAAAAAATTTTCCTCCGGTCTTGTTCCAATATTAGTATCTAAGCACTTTGGATGATGATTGACAGGAATAGGAAATTATGGTAAATGTATAGAAATGGAATAGCAATAGAAATGCTAACGTTTCTCTCTCACGTGGTCTTGTCAAAGGTGAAGATGTGGTAGATTTAACATGTGAAGGGTCTGAACCTGCGGTTGTTGACCTCACCAATAATGATTCTATAGTGGTGAGTCTTGAACACTTGTATTGAAACTTTGTACAGTAACAGTTTGAATGAAGCATGTGCTTTATTGAGAGGATGTTTAACTCGCTGTTTATTTTCTGTCTCGTCTTTCTCTCATCGTCCCATGGGATGAAGGTTGTGGAAGATGGTAATGTATCGTTCTGTTTTTCTTTTATTGATGTAATTGAACTGTTAATTTGTGAGTTGCTTTGGATAAAAGCATTTTATGAATACACATAAATGTAGTTTTCATTAAATATGAATTCAAACTAGGGTAGATTTAAAAAAAGACACTGTGCCACAGAACAATTATTGGAGTGGCAGTGCAATTTTTTTTTTTTATTAAGATTGTTTCATTAAAACATGTCATAACTGTGTCTTTGTCTTACTAAGCTGCTTTTACATTCATGTTTGTGTGCAGGTGTGCAAAGCAGACGCGGACAGGGCACAGAGAGTTATGTACTGAGCAGTGATGAAGAGGAAGAGTCCAGTCTTCGACTCAGTCCAGGCTTACTGTCCTCTCTACATGCCAGCTCGCGAGCCAGGTACGCACAGTCCATTCATCATCACACAGATTAGATTGGTCTGTAACTAAATTATTATAGTCTTCATCCTTGTATGCAGATTTTGTGGATGCAGCTTTGTGAATTTTTACATTCGACAGTTAATATTAGAGCCTGACCGATATATCGTTTTGCCGATTTTATCGGCCGATATGAGTCTGTCGCAGATATACTTCACACTTCTCTAGTAAGTTTCGTCTGTGTGTGAAGACAGTAGATCGGAAGCGAATGAATGTTCCGAAGTGAAATAAACTTCAACGGAATAAAGTTGAATGGAATTGAATTGAAAAAGTTGAATAAACTTCAACTTTACTGTTCAGTGCACTGATGTCAGACTCATTTTAGATAAAGTTTATTGTTAAATTCCCTGCCTCCCTTACATATCTTTGTCACATCATTATAAGTGTTTGATCACCACATTTGAGTGATCATTGCAAAAAATGTATATATATTCTGTTTATGTATATACTGTATTCTATATACCAGTCAAAAGTTTGGACACACGAATGGGAAAGTGTCCAAACATTTGACTGGTACTGTACTATAATATACACAAAGAATATCGGCCGATATAACGATATCGGCCCTTTTTTACTCCCTAATATCGGTATTGTATCGGCCCCCAAAAAACCCATATCGGTCGGGCTCTAGTTAATATGCACTACAAGATTTACACATCTTCTCAAGTTGATTTGTTTTGTGGTGGTCTGCTGTCTGTAGGTCTACACCAGGGGCTGTTAGCTGTCCTGTTTGCATGGATGCTTATTCAGAGGTAAATTGTTGTATGTGCAACTAATCACATAATCAGTGCATTTATATAGTTAGTTCACCCCAAAATTAACTTTGTCATCATTTACTCGCCCTCATGTTGCTCTAAATACTTTTGAACTTTTTGAAGCTTAAAAGTTTGGTCGAATGCACTTTGGAGGGACAGAAATCTCTCAGGATTCATTAATTATCTTCATGTATGCTTTGAAGATGAACGAAAGTCTTATGGGTTTGGGCGAGTAAATGATGACAATGTTCATTTTCGGTTGAACTATACCTTTTAAATCAACCCTAAATGAACATTCTATCATCTTATACTCACACTCATGTTGTTACACTTTTTTTTGTGGAACACAAAAAGAGACTTTTAAAAGAATGTTAATGCTACTCTTTCCTATGACATGAAAATGAATGCTGACCAGGGGCTTTACAGCTCCAAAAAAGAATGGAAAGAGCAAAGAAAGAGAAGCAAGAAAATGTTTTGGTTTGCAATGACATGAGTGAGAAAATGATAAACCATTTTGATTTTAGATTGAAGTTAACTATTTAATTGAACTGTAATTATTTCTTCTAGTCTATAATACAATGTTTCTCTGGTTAATTAAAATGTCTGGTTTTGATCCCATTTTCAGATCATCGACAGTGGTCGGCTCATGGTCTCCACAAAGTGCGGCCACCTTTTCTGCAGTCAGTGCATCCGCGACTCTCTCAACAGAGCTCACAGCTGCCCTACATGTAGAAAGAAACTCACACACAAACAGTATCACCCAATATATATCTAATGGTAAAAACTCGTCCGTGTGCATCTCTCAGAGATCTGTAGTACGCTCTCATGAAACAACTTCACAGCTCCATATTTTCACTGGCTATTTGATATTTTACACATCAATGCCGAGATGATATTAGGCATTATTTTGACTTGTGGAATTCTGTTGGGACTAAAAGGGCACTTAGTCCAGAATTGAGTATTTTTAAATTGTGTGAAAAAAAAAAAAATATATATATACACATACATACATACATACACACACTGTTTTGGGAATATATCCTACATTGAGTAGTCTGGGTTTATGGTTTAAGGCTGCTATATTAATATTTTTGTTTTATTTTTGTCAACTGTCCAGTTTGTAGTATTGAATATGGAATTAGGTTCCAGTTCAAATGAAAAAAAAATGAATGACCAACTGTCACAAGTTAGGATCTTGTAATGTTAGTTTAGTCTTGAACAAAATAGCTTCCTGCTGTGATGGTCTCCATTCTTGTTTAGTGAAAGTTGTAAGCCTGTAATGATAGTTTGCCAACTGGACAACTTTTAGGTCGCCCTCCCACTATATCTTCTCTCATTTGTTTGTATAGCCTTCGTACCAGCCTTGTTAGCTTTAACTGTCACTCACAGTTAACTTATTTTCATTCATTGTCTGTTTATTTGATCGGAATTCATATTCAGATTCTTATTTTGTCGTCAAGCATATTGTTGCATTCAAATGAGTTTTTGAGGGAACAGTAAATGCTGACTATGTAAATGTGCTTTCATCTCAGAAGACCTCTTCGACTGATCGTTTACTCGATGGTCAGAGAAGTTAATGGTAAATACATCTTGACTGGTTAGCAGAGGGTGACTGGAGGACTAAAGCTAACAAGGCTTGTTTGCCAACTTGTATGTGTTAAGTGTTAATATTTGTATATACTTTAATGTATAAAGGACCTGTAAGTTAAGAGGCGTTAGTAAAGACCATAACATTTATTTCAATAAACATTTTGATCACTGATTGATTACTTTATTTAATGGGATTTAAGATGTTTTGATAAGTACTAGATTTTTAAAACGAAATGTGCAGAGACTTTATTTAAAACGACAGTTTTCATTCTGGGGAGCTAACAATATGTATTGTCTGTTTGCCAAACAATATAGAGAAAATCTCAGATTTCAGAATGAAATACTGTTTTGTAACTTGAAATATTGTACAAATTTCAAACTGGTATAGATGTAAAAAAAAAAAAAAAAAAAAAGTGATCCGTATTTAGGACCTTACTAATTACAATGTTTAAATTATAAGTTACAATGCAACTAGTTACTTCTGGTTAAGTACTTTCTACATCATTTTACTGTTCTGTATACCAGTATATATATATATTTGTTTTATATTTTCAATTCGATTTTCTTGTTTTCAGTTTTAATTTTAGTTAGATTTTTCTCATTTTCATTTTTCAATTTAGCTATTTCAGTTTAATATCGGTTTGTTTTGTCAACAGTCATAATTCATATATTTGAATTATAATTCTCTCTCTCTCTCTATATATATATATATATATATATATATATATATATATATAGGTGCATGTCAATATTTATAATTCAAATATATGAATTATGACTGTTGACAAAACAAACCGATATTAAACTGAAATAGTACACGAGTTTCACAATTTGAGTTGAATTACTGAAATAAATTATCTTTTCCACGACATTCTAATTTATTGAGATGCAACTGTGTATGTATATATGTATGTATATATGTATGTGTATATATATATATATATATATATATTAGGGCTGTCAAAATTAACACGTTAAAGCAAACT